GGCCTCTCATTCACGGAGGGCCTCAAATTTAGACTTTTGACGTTATCTCCAAATGAGGTTATACATACAGACACAGAGATACACTGACAGAACTGAAAGAAGAAGAAAAAAGCTAGAAAAAGCACTTGCTAAATAAAAAAGGAACATTTATTACAAATTATTGCATTGTATTTTGAGCGTCAAAAAATGGAAGTGGCCCGGGCCTCTCTCGACCTCTGAAAGGGCTTGCTCCCAAGCACATGCACATGGGGAAGGAGGGAGAAGGGAAAAGTTATAATCCATGACTAACATACATATGTCAGAAACTCTGGTATAGATACAGTTGTATCAGCAAAGCTGTGCTTTTCCTGGTATGGCTTGTTTCAGGTATGTGAAGTGATATTACTAAACTGATACAAAGCACAGTGTGGCTGTTCCCACACTTACAACTATGTTGCTGGTATAGTGTACTGCTATAGCTATACTCCTACAGACTTAGTCTTAAATTCATAAAGTTACACTTAGCATTGAAAGTGTCCTACATATTCAGACTTCTTTGCTCATGGTTCCCTCCCACTCAGGGCTACCACGGTGAAAGCTGAGCTTTCCCTGCAGTGGGGACTCCAGACTGTGGTGGGGCCAGGCACTGGAACTGACCTTGAGAGCACAGGGCTCCTTCCTGACCCTCCTGACATCATCTTGGCAACACAGAGGAGGAAGCCATCTATAACAATGTGGCAATAGATGGGGACGAGGGATGGAGTGGGGACGTTCAGAAACTGGCTGGGCAAGGAGTCTGCATGTCAGGGAAACTGAATGAGGAATGGGAGGGGAGGGACAGGAAGAAAGGCCTGAAGAGGAAGAAAGACATCTGACAAAAAGCCAGAGTAGGAAAGAAGTGAAACTGGAGCTGGAGGAGACAAGAACAGTGAGATTAGATGAGAAGCATAGGAAGGGAAACTGGAACTGGAAGCCACGGGTGTGGAACTGGAGACCAGAAGGGAAAGAAGCAGTCCAGGGGGTGAGAAAGGGAATAAGGACTGGTTGGGCAAGGAGACTAGGGCTAAGGGGACAGGGAAAGGCTAAACCAGGGAACTGGGAGATAGAGGAAGATTGGGAGCCTGGAAGGAGCGGAATTATGACTCGGTACAAATGTTGTTTCTACTGAGAGAATTGCTGTTCTCCTGGTAAAAACCAAAATTGTATACACATTCAGACTTTTTCTCCCAGAGCAAAAATTAGCCACTATGGGAGCGCCCAAATGAGCGCACGTATGCAGTTTGCAGCACTGAAGACCCATCCACAGCTCCACAAACTGCATGCGCTGCACACACAGGTGTTTGCCACACTGCTAATTTGCAGCACAGCAGGATTTTTTTGACACTGGGAGATGCCAGTGTAAAAACAAAACAAAAAAAACAAAAACAAAAACAAAAAAAACTCGTAGCAGAAAAAAGCAGGGTGCTGCACATGGCAGCCGCATGCACAGCCCGAAACCAGAACCTGGCTGGCCAGAGCCACACTCCAGCTGCCAGCCAGGCTCCATGCACCCAGATTGCTGCTGCTGGAGCCCTGGGGGGCCCCCATGACTCCAGGTAAGGCTGCTGAAACCAGCCTCCCATACCGCACCCAGGGCAACTTGCTGCACACAAGAGTGCATGTCCCCAGGGAAATGCATATGCATGTTCATCTGGACATGCCCTCTGGGAGCAAAATAACACTGAAATAATCAGAGTTAAATTGCTCCCAGAAGAGTTTCCGCCATCTTAACTCTCCCTCAAGACCAGGAGGAGTGGAGCCAAGGGAAAGACTCCCTGCCCTCCTGAAACCAGGTCATCCTAGGCTTGAGAAGGCACTGGGGGGACCTGGCTCCATCCTACTATAGACCAGAAGGTAAAGGCAGTAGTGACCACTCCTTGCCTCTTCCCCAGACTGCCTAGTCCCCAGGAAGAGGCAGGGGGGTTTTCCAGCTCCTGCCAGCTTCCCTT